TAGCTTTCTTTTTTGACCTTTAAAAAGAAAATTAGTTTTGTCCTAAAAAAATGCAAAGGTTGTGTATCTTGGACATAAGTTTGCTTAATCGTAATGCCCTGAAGTTTCTTTTATTGACTTCCCGCTTCAAAATAGTTGGCTTCAAACATTAAATGATGGGCATTACATGGACTTAGGTTTTTTAATATGTGCTTTGAGAAATTGCACATTGCAATATTCATTGTTTTATTAATATTTTCCCCTGAAATCTGAAATCTCACATTCTACAAATACAAGAAAGAAAGAGAAAGGCTCTTGCTGAATTGTGGAATTCCTTTCCTCTGTATTTTTACTAACAAATACAGACAGTTGGGCCTTGCTCTTATCATGATGTGGTCATTTTACCCCTTACCAATCTGGCATTATGGCAGCAATGTCTTTTTTATAAATGCTTACTGTGGTTGAATTGCCAAGCTGCTTGCCCTGCCATAAACTAATTCAAACAGTTGTCTTGACTTTGAAGTCATCTAGTGTCGAATAAAAATAGATATGTCTGTGGAGTGTGTCACATGTTTTTGAGGGATTAGTGCCATTGTGTAGTCCTGACTTCTATCCTAAATCAGATATTTGTTCCAGGATTAGAAGCTTGCTGTGGCAAGCACATGCACACATGCACGTTTGTGTGTACATCTGTGGTACTGTCTCTTTGTGCTGCTTTGTGATTCAGCCTCCTGTTGCTGCCTCCTTTTTGTGCACTTCACATTTTTTCCTTCAGGAGGACTTTGTTCTTTTGCTTCATTATGAGTTTGAAGACATCTTTATCCATTCAAAATGTGTGTCTGAAGAAGGTGGTTTGCTTGCAACAAGTAATATAAGTTCCTTTGTGTTCCTTTGTGTTGCTAGAGAGAAAAAAGGCAGTAAAAATATAATAGATTTTCATTTGTGTAGTGGATAGAGAATAGAGGGATTGGTGCTGCTATGAGGAGCGGCAGCCTTCCCACCACAATTGTTTTAGGCTGTCTGTAGAATTAGTATCCACTTCTTCCATCTGTTCTTTTGGAGTTTGTTCAGTGATGGTTTCAACAGGGGTGCTTTTAGAGAGAGAGTTCACACCTCTACACAGAAATGCTATGTGTTTACATCTATTGTAATTGGGACAAGAATTTTATTTAATGTGGGGAGAAGTGAGTGAAGTTGAGTCTCCTCAGAGTCAGGGGCAAGTTCTCCTCTTGCTTGGCCAGGCATTTGCTTCAAAGTGCTAGGATTTCAGGAAAGCTTTGAAATCTCCATGGCTTGCAGCTTCGCAGCTTTGCTGGTGGTGGTTTCCAGAGAGCAGTTGTATCTGGAGAGGGAATGAGGCAGAGCATGGAAAGCAGGGACAGCAGCTGAACTTAAGTACAAAGACACCTGGGATGGTACTGCTGCTATGGAAAGCTGTTGTTTGTGCTTGGGATTCCATCCTTGGCAGAATTTGCCTTTTCATAGTCTGAGAAGTAAAAATGTGACTAAGAAACTCTTTTTGAAAAGTGGGAGACAAGAGTTGATGAAAGCCATTTACAAAGCTTTTTAAATAGTGTTTAGGGCTTAAATATCAGAACTGATTTGTGACACATTAAGAGAAGCTGGTCATTTTTAGGAGGTAGCATTGGTCTCATTGTCAAGTTTGGAAAGTTCATTGTAGCCATGTGGTTAGCTGCAGAATTATAAAATATGAGCCAAGCGTGCTTCATAAGAGAAGACTGTTAAGTATATGTGTTTTGACTAATGACATAGAATGGTACATAAAAAACTTATGAGGTGGGAAACTATTCACTCCTACAACACAATTGTATGGTCCTATTTTTTTACAGACCTCCTAGAACAGCTTTCCTGATTGGAGTATGCATCTTGTAAATTCAGCAGGTAGAGAGAGGTTGCTTCATACAAACTAAATTACTCTGCTGTCTTTAAAATAAGTAGATAATGCTTGCCTTTAAAAACAGAAAAAAAACCATATTGGATGGGTTTTTTTATGGGAAATAGGGCATGCATTCCCTTATGCTTTAAGTGCAAATGTGCTTATAAGCAACTGCAAAAATCCTAGCAAGACAGCATGACAGAGCAGCTCAGTGAGTGCTACAAGGTGCCACAAAAACGGTGGGTTTGGAATTTAAATTTTTCTAAGTAAACATTCTTTAACTCTGGTGGTTTAAGCAAATCTGACTTCAATAGCAAAATGCAGAATATTTCCGAACATAAATATCTAGCAAGGTAGGTTTTCTTAGCATTGGGTTTTTGGGTTCAGCCCATACCCTTCAGCCTTGCTATGCCAGTCCCTTAGTTTTCAGACACTGGATTCAGCAGGCCTTCTTATTAAATGCCTTTTGTCTAGCCTGGAAGAATAATGAAATATTGGCATGCTAAGGGCCACCAAATCTGTGAAACAAGAGCCTACTCTGCAAGGACACTGGAAAGAAGTAGAAGAGTGTGGAAAGAATAACATTTCACTTCAGGTGTCTGATTTGTATTCTCAAATAAAATTAATATGGTTCCTTTTTAAAAAAAAAAAAAATTGAAATCAGAGAATTGTAGATTTCTAGATGAACTGGCTCCCAGGACAGTAGATTGGCAAAATGTCTAGTGGAAATCACACCTTTGAAGTAGAAGAATATTGGATGTTTTTTTTCACCCTTTTATTTGATATCACTGTATCTACCTTCTTATGTAGCTACTCCTGAGCTAATCAGTATCAGTTTAGCAGTTTGCATCCTAAACTATATGATTTTCTGGAAAAGTCACTTTTTTAAGAGGAATAAAAGTTGGGGGGAACCATCTCTGAAAGCTTGCAGGTCAATATTTCAATCAGAAGAACAAACAAGAATGAACTGCTGACTCAGTGTCTTTACTTAAAGGATCAGTTTATGGTAGGTAGGTTTGGAATGGAAATGTGGCTGATGACCTGGAATGGCTGCAAGATGGGGGTAGTTCCTTGGCCTGACTGGACTAATAGTTGCAGCAGGGAGGAGCAGAGTGGCTGACAGGAGCAGGAGGCTGTTCCCACAATAGTTTGGTTAATGTGACTCAGAATCCACAAACTCAGTGGAAGTAGTAACTCAGTGTTAGCAAGAATATTCCTATATGTACTCTCTTCCATGTGGGAAATATATGTTGTCCATCTCCTGCAGACCTACTCAGCCAATTTCCCTGAAAATTATCTGTTTTAAGTTGTTTCTTGGGTCCTAAATAAATCTTTCAAACATAAAATAATAAATACTAAAACAGCTTCAGTAGTAAATATAAAATGTAAACAAAATACAGATAAATTAGTTACCAGTATCAGATGCTGTGATTTGTAAATGAAGTTTGGCTCTTATCTTCAGGTAGTTAATAGCTATGTTTTATGCATAAAGGAAATATTCATTAACAAAAGAAAGTCATAAACATCAGAAATAGTGGAACAGCTGTTTAGTACTGATACTTTTCTGGGGCTGTGGCCCACTGGAGGAGGTCTCCTGAGCAAGGACTGGACTAGAGTGGAAGGAGATAAAAACAATTGAACATAGGTGCATAACGTAGTAAAGACTGTATGAATTGTTCTTGTGTGTACTGGTTACATTGTATTGAGTTGTTATGGTCCACAGGAGTAAAGGAAGGGACTAGAACTGAAAAAATGTGTCATGAGAGGAGAGGTTGAAGAGATCAGAGAGGTTTAAATTGAGGAAGTAATCAGTATGAGGAAGTGTGGAAAAGGACCATAAATTGTATAAAGATTAAAATAAAGGACCCTTAGTTTACATTACAGACTCAAGAGGAATATTCAGTAGAAGACAGGTAGTTAATTAAAACAGAATCTCAAATGCATCAGTAGTTTTAAAAGCTGAAATTTTATTGAATAACTAAGATATTCAATAGTAAGAATATCAAAACCACCCTCTCTGCAAAAAGTCAGTATTCCAAGTCTGTTGATGGTTATGTATGGATGTTTTGGGAAGGAACAGGTTAGATCACACAGATGGTGCCTTTTTCATGCTTAAAGCAATGACATAGAGCTGAAGTACTTCATGAGCCAGGCACTGTTTCCATGTGTTTGTGTTTAATAGCTCTGTTTGGATTTACTCTTACTTGTATATTTTTGTCATCCCACTTACGCTTTTGGCTTCTATGTTGTGGCAGTGAGTCTCACAGTTGTAATTATGGTTTATGTGATGTAGTCTGGCTTTTCCATTTATTTATTACAGACTTGCTGCCCTGTTTCATAACTTCATTGATTTCTTAACAAGAATACCCAGCAACATTGAGAAAAACTTTCTAAAGAGAGGGCCAGTCATGACACAAGGCTGCCCTTCTAACACTTTCTCTGATTATTCATGGGTGGGTGTCTTGCTGTCCTTGTAGGAGATAGCATATTTACTGCTTGCCTGTCTCCTGCTATAGCAGCCTCTGTGCACAGCTAGTGAGCTCCATCCTGGCCATGACTGCTGTGTCCTTATGGTGAATAAAGTCAATTCCCAGGTGTTTCAAATAAGGGGCCAATACTCAGATGAAACACTTGGCCATTGAATGCCCAGCATTGCACACACTTCCCTGTATGTGCTAGGGTGTAGTTTTCAAGGTTCATATCCTGGGCCCTGTCTAGAGCTCAGTGGAAGAATGGGGGTTTTTTGGTTTGCTTTTTTTTTAGAGTCAGCCTTCCATCCCCCATCTCACACATATGTCATAAAAGTTGTGTTATCCTGCTTCGTAGGTGAAAGTTTGGTGCGTGCTTGCTGGCCCTCACTCTTAGCTGTTTACATGCTGTAATGACTGCAGAACAACTTGGCTTCTGGGGCCCAGAATATTAACAGATCTCTCACTAACTCTTAGGGGTAGCAGGAGCAAAATCAGAAACTTTCTGTCAAAATCACAGGAAGTTCTTTTAAATTAAAACTAGGAAATGATTCCTGCTTGCTGGAATTTGTGTTCCAAATGTGATCATGTGAAGTGAGGTTCTGCAGTGAGTATTGAATATTCTAATTTTTACTCCCTTTTTTGTCTTTTTCTAGGAGAAGCTCTGCCTACCACATCACATCCTAGAAGAAAAGGGCTTGGTAAAAGTGAGCATAACAGTTCAAGCATTGCTAGATGTAACCACAGTGAAACAAGCTTTATTCACATGAAACTACTCTCTCTGCTGTTACCAGCTACACTGTGCCATGAACGAATCAAAAAGCTGCCCATTTTTACAAACTGCATTGAAAACAACTCCAGTACTCCAAGAGTATTTGTGATTTTAAACCCATGTTTCAGACTGTACATATGTGTCGAACTATAAAGCAGAAACTGAACAGAAACATTTTCTAGAGGAAGTTGGCACTTCACTGCTTTTCTAGCTCACTTTGTACAGTACTTACTAAAACAACATCTCTCTGCCACTTAAAATCGTGTGGAGTACACAGCTGTCTTGCAGCAAGATACTTTGTATTACTAAACTAAGAATCACTGTAATCACCTGGGGGGAGGGAGAAGGGAGAGTAAATCAGACTGCTACCACCTTAGGTTTTTCTGCAGTTGCTTCAGGCTATTGCCTTTTAAAAATATCCAGACATTAAATATTTATATAAATATTATTTATTAGTGAGTTGTTATTCATCCTTTGGATGCAAAATGTAAATTAGGAAACTGTATTTTATTACTGCTTTTTTTGTGGTTAAACACTTTATTTTAATATAAATACTTAGTTATTTTTTATTCTACTTGGTGTGCAGTAGCTCTAGATCTCCGTAAATTGTATTTTCTAATATGTAAGATAAAAAGCAAACAAAATAGGTGCTTCTATTAAAAGAACAGCTAGCTGGAATGGAATTCTTTATTTCTTGAATCTGTGGAATATTGGTAAAAAATTGTCTGCATTCCATTGAGTTTCCTACATTCCAGTAACACCTCTCCCCTCACTAGATAGACTAAATTGGCTGAAAGTGAGAGCACACCCATTTTATTTGTATATAGATGTTTAAAAACAAAAGGAAATATGTAAATTTGAAAAATAAATGTGAAAAAATATTTTTGATTGCTTATTTTGCTATGCACAAGACATTTAACTTTTGCCACAACAAAATTATTTATGCGCATTAGGATCATGTGTCTTGAAATGTAATTTTGCACTGTAACTTGACTTCTTTTAAAGATTACAGCACTACAGAACAAACAGTAAAAAATAGCACAAGAATGTTAACAAGATTAACAGGTAGCCAAAAACTTAATTTGTTTTCTTCAGTGATTCCTTCAAGAGGAGACAAAAATGACTGAAATTGCCAAAGGCAGTCTCAAAGACCTGGTCTTCCAGATCCAGTCTGCCTGGGTACAGTGCTTCTCTTTAAAAGTATCCACAGAATTAAGCACAATGTTCTGTAGTGCACATTTGCAGCACCAGACCTCTACTTCCACGTCAGCAATAGGAAATAAAAGTTCTTCTCCTTCTTACCACTTTACATTTTTCAAAGAGGTTTTTAAAAGCATACTTTGTTATTAAGACATCCCATTTTCATTCACACAAGAAGCCAGTGATGGGACTTGGGCAAGCAGGACGGGGCAGCAGCATGTGGTGAAAAGGGAAGCTGGCTGGGGACACACAAGCAGGGAGTTTGAAATGTAGAGTGGCAAAAAAAAAGAGGTAAGGGGGTGTGAGGACTAAATATTTAGGCAAGAGGATGTGGAGAGAGCTATTGTATGAAGGCTTTTGGGCAGAGTGATGCATACTTGTCACTGCCCCCTCCCGAGGCACTGCCTTTAAACCCACCCATGTTCAGCAGCACATCTGCTGAGCTTCAGACGGTGTCTGAACACAGAGCACACACTTCACCACCACCACCTGCTCCAGGGCTGGGAGGCAGTGACAGCAGCGTGTGAGGAGGAGCAGGAAAGGGGACTCGCAGACAATGAGCCAGACAGTATGCATGGAATATCCAGTTACTTCAACCAAAGCAAAAACATTTATTTTATAGAGGGAACATAGACTTAAATTGTAATTTGATTGGCAGCTAGCATATTGTTTCCTATAAAATGTACTGTGCACTTTAACACTAAATGAAAATGTATTTTAATATTTTACAGAGCTGCACAAATATCTGTTTTGTCAAAAAGCACGAGCAATGTAAAGAAAATAAGTTTTCAAGTCAGAGTTTATCAAATTTTAGAAGCATTCAAGGATCAAGTATAAAAATAGGAATATTGATTTCTGCATCTTGAGGGTAAAAATGCAGGTTTCCTGAGTATTTTTTTACAATGTATATATGGCAACATGAAGCTTTGTAATTATTATTTTGACAAATCTTGTTTTTTCATAATTAAAATTTTGTTTTCCTCCTGATAGTGTCTTTCAGTATTTGCTTGAAGTTGGCTGTAAATAGCTCTAAGTATTTTGTAATACAGCTTTTTTTATGCGGTCTTAACCTGTATGGCTAAAAACAGAATCTTCATGATCCTTTGTACAATATTTATATGTGCAATAAAACATGCATGGCAAATCTGTAATACCCTCCACAGTGAACATAATGTATATAGAAAATCTTTACTGTAGTTACAATTAAACTATATTATTTACAGAAACCCTTTAATGCCTATTCCTGTGCCTGATGATTTCTTGTAAAAGACATGGTAGTTAGAGAGTGCAACACTGGAAATGATGGGTTTGGGGATGGGGGAAGATGATGATTTGATGCAAATAAAGGCATTTTGCAGCTAAAGTGGGCATAAGATCCAGCTGGTAGGATGTTGGGTACCTGGAATGTTCTCCCTGCAGCTTTCCTGCTGCTGTGGTGAAGGCCTCCTGCCAGTCAGTGGCAGTGAATTCTCTGCCCTCTGCTGCCAGGGCCAGGCTGGGCTCAGGGAGATGGGGGAGACCCTTCCTTAAGCTTGCTCCTGCTCACATTGGTGTATTAGTTGTTCATTTTACTGCTGCAGGGCAGCCTTTTCTCCTCCTGAAATGCAGAGATTGTTCTGCAGCCTTCTGCTTCAGCAAATAAAACCTGAAGATTCCTGGAGAGTGCTGAATCCAAGCAGCAAACACAGTAAGCCCTTGGCCCTGGGGATCCAGTGTGCCAGGGCTGTGCCCAGCTGCTGTGCTCTGCCCCTGGCTGCAGAAACAAGGAGCATCTCACAGCATCCGGCCTTCTCTTGCCCATGCAGATTTCTGAAGTCATCCAAGTACAGATTCTCCTAGATTCCAATTTCTCTAAATGGAGTGTCTTTACCTTAGTGAACAGGTGAATTTATGGGCTGTCCTTTTTCACCTTTGATAGGGGATTTTGGAAGCAGAGGATCCCTCTGCAATAATTTGCTTCTGGAAAGCTCTTGCAATGCACACAGTTGTATCTTCCCAGCCTTCAAAGCGTAATCATAAATTATTAGATGCAAGACTGATATAAATCAATGCATAATTTAAGGCTGTCACCAGCACCTGCCTCCCTCTAACTTAGAATCTAGCAGGAACCAGAGACACAGGAGAGCATTTAGCATTGCCTAAAAAGAAACTCATCCTACATCTGTGGTAGCATTTCCTCTGGCAAGGGTGAACCAAGGTTTGAGCAACGATTCAGGTCCAGCTGAGCCTGAGAAAGCTGAGTTTACAGTGATTACTTGCAGCTTTCTGGAACAATCTGTGTTCTTGTCCAAGGTAGCTGGCAGAATTATATCACCAAGAGCTATTTTAGATCTACAACCGTCAGGACTAAATTCTGCCATCTTTTGTAAAATAAGTATACTTTATTTCAGCCATGAGATATTAGATAATTAGACAGCAATTGCTTTTTTCAGATCTATTTAGCAGTTTCTTCTCAGTCCTGTCACATCTAAGATACACACTCTAAGAATCAAAGGACAAGTGGAGAAAAAATCCTTTTTAGTACAGACTGCTTCCTTCACAGGTTTTTTAAGTGGTCTTTTCTGTAAGTATCATCCATGGAATACTCCAGATAATTTGCTTGATAAGGCACAGGACAGTAAACAACTGTGCACAGCAGGCTTTTGTCTGCATTCTCCACCAGACCTTGTCCTTGGAAGGTATTTACACAGGCAAAACACCTACCACTTCAGATTAATTAAGGAGCTTGATTAGCTGTGCCACTAACAACTTCCTTCCCTATTAAAGGCTGAAGTAAACCCCAGAAATTAATTAGCTGAATGGGCACAGTGTTGTTAATCACAGGCTTTGCACAGTTGCACTAGAAGCTGTCTGCAGGTGCCACATCCACACCCACGCTCACGGTGTGAAAGGGTAATAAGTAACTCATCTGCTGGCTTGCATTTTGACCCAAAATGCAGCAGATGTAACTTCATGGCATCAAGAGTTTACCAAGCATGCAAGAACATTCCCAATACTTACTCTAAAGCACACACATTAAATTAAGGGGGACTTTTATTTTTCTTAGAAGTACAATCAGAAGAGCTCCATTTTACAAACATTACTTCAGCAAATGATTTTTGTTTAGTTCACCACTATCTCTTGATTCGTATAGTCCAGGCAGCCCTCATCCAAATGGTTCAAGCATTGAGGTATTTTGCATGGTGTTTGATGTGGTCATTAATAAATGAAGCAATGAAATAATAGCTGTGATCATAGCCCTAGAAAAGAACAACAATAAAGAAATCAGAAGAGAACATACAGCTCATGATAAAGCAATCATGCTAAGCTCAAATGAAATGGAATGATTCTCCTGGTTTTATCCATCTTAAGAAATACCTGGAATATATATAAAAATGGCAAGGGATACATAACAGGCTAAGTACAGATGAGCACTAGGAAGCTGAACAAACAGAAAGTCCCTTAACCTGCCCAGACCTGGGCCTGTAAGCTGGAGATGTGTAACAGCAAGGCTCAGCTGCAGAGTGAGAGGCAATCTGAGAAAACATTGCCCTCACAGGCACTGTTCTTCTGGTAAAACACAGGGGGGATAAAGGAGAACAGAGCCCAGGTACGAGTTACTGCTCCATCACTGTGCTGAAATGTCACCCTCTGGTCCACAGCCCTACATCAGCACTAACTCTATCTTTAGGTGCAAGGCTTATGATAAAGCAGAGAGGACAATCCTTCACTCCCCACAGCTGAGCTCCTCACTGGGTCTGGGTGGAAGCTGCCAGTGGCTTACAAAGACTCCACTGCTCTCAGGACAGCCTTGTTCTGGGTCACTGTGCTACAGGTAAGAGCGATGTGAAGCCGTAGGTCTTTACATGAATCTAGGATGTAAAGCCCTGAGTCTTTACATGAATCTAGGATATCAAGCAGTTCCACCCCTTCCCTAATTTACACAAACACACGCAAACTAAATAATGAAGTTTTATGGTAAACACGAAACCCACAGCACAGATAAGGGGTGCAGCAGAAGGCCATGTGTCACTTTGGCTGTACAGTGACTGGAATACTCATTACAAGTGATTGCTGCTGTGTCTCCACCCGAGCACGGGCAGCCCCGTGCAGGGATCAGCCTGTCCAAGCTGGAAGCACGACGGCACCTAGTGGTGACACGCGGCTGAGTCGGGTGGGTGACGCACACCTTGATGGCCCATGCGACGACAGGAAAGTGTCACTTCTCACCCTCCTCCTCAAGTGACCAGGGACAGGCCCACAGTGAGAGCAGGCCTGCCCCCTTGCAGACTCTCTTCACTGCCTGCTGTACAGAACCAAAAATCACAAAGAATCTGACAACCAAGGAGTGCAGGAGCAACTTGCCTGCTGCAGCCTGAAGACTACTGGGACTTTGCGCTCGGTGCAGGCAGCGATGAAGTTATCGGGCAGTAACTGGCCTGCAGACAGGAACTGGTCATCTTTGCCTTGGTCAATCAAGATGTCCAGGCAAGCGCCCGAGTAGGACTTCACAAGCTGTGTGGCATCATAGGCCTGCAGAAATCAAACAGAAATTACTTCAGGTACATGTCTTCCACTGGTTTGTTGACTGCAGGGAAAGAATGGCACAGACAGAGTCCTGGGCAGTGCTGCTCAGGACACCAAGCTGCACTTTGGAAGAACGACAAACTAGGAAAAATCCAGGCAACTGAAAAGTAATACCCATTGCTTTAAAAAGGGCAAATGTATGAGTCAGATAATTACCAAGTTGGCAGTTTAACCAAACAGCACATCCAGCCCAGGGCTGACTTCCTACAGAATGGAAGAGCAGCAATATAGTCAGTACTAATTCACACTCTTCTGCAGCAACTAGATCCTGCTGAAGAAACGTGGTGTATTTATTCTGGCAGCTAAAAGTCAAAATACCAGTGTGGCACAACTAAGCTCATGGGCAGGCATTTAACCTGAAGGCTCCCATGATGATTTGACCAAGAAAATTTGGTTTGACTGAGAAACAAATTAAAAACTCTAAACATATATGTATCAGAATGTAATTAAGATGGGGAACATGTTACCCATGGGGTCCTGTGTTTATTACATGCTCAAAATAAACAACTCCTTTAAAAAGACAGCAAAGTGTTTAAATGGTGTGGAGAAGACCAATCACCAATGGACAGCAAAATCCAAAGTCCTACACCAAGGCATCAGAGCCATCCTTCCAGGATGCCCCCAGATCCAGAAATGACACTATGATGGAAGTGAGAGCTTGGGCCCAGCCCAGCACTGTGGCCATGGTATCAAGTTCTCCTGACCATATTTACATGGCAGTTTTAAGCCAAAATAGAGAGATCAGAGGTTGTATATCTGTTTCAAAGGCAGATCCAGATCCTTTCAAAGGTATGCTCCTGATGATTGCTGTTGATCTATTGGACTAGGTTTGCAGAAGCACTCCAAAACAATTTAAGGGGACAGAAAACAGATTTTTGGGAGGTTGTTTTATTTTGTTTCACAACAAATCCATTACACTAACTCTAAGCAAGTTTAACTGGTGGTTTCTAAATACACAAACTACTCAATTAACAATTAGAAAAGCAGAGAACACTCTCCAATCCTGTAAAGTTTTAATCAGACCTGGAAGTCTTCCTAAGACATAATTTAATCCAATTTACAAGGGACTGCATTGCAGCTTGTGCTTATTTACAAGGAAATCTGAGTACATGGTCACAACAATCCCTTCTAAGTTAATTATAAAAATACAGTGCAATGTTCAAGTTGAGATTAAAAGTACTGAAGGGCTGCCCAAATAATGCAGCAACCATGCAGACAAACGTTTTTGTATCTTAGCTATTCACATACAAGTACTGATAGCTCAAAATAAAGGTCCTGGAGCTAAAATCTAACTTTGTCTAGTTTAATGCTGTTCTGCAGGATACCAATTTCCAAGTGTCTGCCAGGCTCCTCTTGGAGGCCTCCCACAGGCTGCCCCTGCAAGATGTCATGAGGCTCAAAAGTCTGAACAGTTTGCAGCAGTCTCTCTTCAGGCTACTACAAAAATACACTGCTCATAATTGTTCTCAGCCCAGACTTTTAAATCTTCATAAAACTGGGAGGAATGTAGTTGATTTGATGAGAGGCCTGTATCTCATTACATTTTCATAAGCACCCTAAGGCAACGGCAAGTCCCTCCTGCCAGAAACAAACAATGCTTTTCTGTGCTTAGGGGTGTAGTAGAATATCAGTACCAGCTCATGGGCAACCCAGAGTTTTTTTCCAGGCTCTTGCTGTGAGGTATTTACAGATCACTCATTCATCTGTCATTAAAGAACTGCAGCTGCAACACATACCTCCCATTTGCTTGCATCTGGTCCCAGATATCCACCAAGGGCTTTCTTCCCCCACTGACACTGAATTGGGTTGCAGATTGGAGCAAATGCTGACACAGACTGTTCAGAAAGACAGCAGCAAAAAACCAAAAATTATGTAACAATGAACAGCAACAAATGAAACTATTTTTATATTTAATGCCCTCAAAGAACTCAGTATTATGTTTTCTTCTGTCACATTTACAGAAATTTATATAAGCATTAGTATACCTCATATAAGCTATAATTCATCTTACTTTGTACTTCCCAGGATTCTTCAGAGCAAGAATAAGAGCTCCATGACCTCCCATGGAATGCCCAAAAATAGACATTCGTTCAGGGTCAGTTGGAAAATTGGCATTTATTAGTTTAGGCAGCTGTAAAGGAAACAAAAGCATAATAAAAATAATGTTAAAGCAACTTGAATATGTTTAAGAAAAAAGCACACAACTAACCAACTTTTAATGCCACTGAAACCAAAGGCCAATCTCTGGTTGTAGCCTGACATTTGTGATCATGGCCTGAAAGCAACTTGAAGGGGAATGTGAAATCAAAAGGAAACAGTTCAACTGATAATAAGTAACTCAAAGTATCTCTACAGAAATCTCCCATAACCTTGTAACACAAGAAGTGGGAATTTCCTATGACTGAGCCACACCCCTTTATCTTACCCAGCAACATCAGGAGAACCCAACAGCCCATTTACCTCATCCTTTATGTAGGAATACATCCTGTAGTTTGTTTTCCAGGGATCTTCAGTGGCATCCACATAAAAACCAGCACCGGTGCCAAAATCCCAACTTTCATCTTCTCCTTCAATATTGCAGCCACCTAGTGTGACAAATCTTTCCTTTACTGCATGTTCAGAATTGGAGAGCCTGCCATACAAATCAGACTTGGAGCACAAGTTTCTCAATCACATCTCTACCCCTTCAACTATAAAACAATTCAGATTTTAATTCATTAGTACAATGTTTCCAAGTGCTATTTCAACACTTTCAAAATTACACTTACATAACACCTACAGATATATCCAATTCTAAAGAGTGTCAATATCTCCATAAATAAATATAGCATATACATGTCTTCTAAATTATTTCTGTTAAGCTTTGTCCAATTTACTCAGGAACTTAAAGAAAAGTTGGCACTTGTTAATTGGTGCTACCATCTTATTTCAGCCATTAGACCTTTGTGACAAACAGAAGAAAATTTCTTCTTCCCCAGAATGACAGAACCATGTATCACCAAATGGTGTGTCCAAGCCAGTTTATGTGCTTTAAATAATGCCTGCTACACCTCCCTTTATAAGATTCTTCAGAAGAATAATTCACTGTTCCTATCATTTCACAAGTCTACCTTTTCTGCAATTCATTTCATTTCTCCCACCTATAATTTCCATGAAACTTACATAATTTCTTCTTTGAATACCTGCAGGATTGTATCCTCTTTTCCAAGGCTACACTTTCAAACTAAATTTGCAAATGTGTTCTTGAAAGTCAGTGTATCTCACCCAGTCCTCCCTTTGCTTAGTCTGTGACTGACCAGCCTGGTCTGCAGAGCCCAATGTAATATTTCAAGGTATATGTGAGAGGAATGTTTTGGGGAAAGAGAGGCCATTATTTCCTACCTATTATTTTGCCACAGTCAGATTACACTGCAAACCCACGTGTAACTCAGCAGTCCCTCACAATTTGTGCAGAGATGGCTGCTGCCCTCCCACAGTGTGCAATCAGGTTTGTACAAGGATCAAAGCTGACTTTGCTCCAGTGACATGCCCTTGGACACCGAGTGATTCTGTAACTTAGCAGTCCAGCAATCACAGGGACTGGGGTGCTTAAACAGGTTGGATGTAAGAAGTCTGTCTTCAGTACCTCGGAGATGGACAGAAACTCAGAAAGTCCTGCCAGGCAATGAAGGCATAGTGCTCATTATGGTAAAAAAACTTTCAGGAAGCCTTGAAAAAAAAGAAATTTGAAAAGGAATCTGCACAACATTGCTCAGTATACCTGTCTGGAAAAACAAAACCCTTCAAAGTAGGAAAAGTGAAATCTGTCAAGGCCTGACTGAGGGTCTGTAATGACAAGTATTTAATGATTTCATGCAGTCTTTTTCCCCATCCAGATACATCTCCAGGCTCTTGGAAGGTAATTCTCATGCACTACATAATTAAAATGCATATGTAAGCATTTTCAATACCTCTCAGCTCTTGAGCAATTATATTTGAATTGCTTTTCACTTGTTTCTCTAGACAGCTCAAACTGACTTAAGAACATCTGGGTCTCTGAGCTAAAATTTAAGGGAATCATATGAAGCTTATACCAAAACTCATTGAAATAGTAGAGCAATCCTTATCAGTCATTAGGCTAAAAGGCAAAAGAGAGGCTGCCACGAGGGACTTAAAATAAATTGGACAAAGCAATGACCTCTGCAAAGGCAGTTACACATTGATAGAGACAATTTACACAGATACTACCAAAAACAAGTTCCAGTCCAACTACCCAATATGAATAAAGCAAAGGTTAGTTGCCCATCTCTAGCCTGCAGCAAATAGCAACAACAAAGTATGAAGTTCATTCATTCACAAGTTTTGCTTTTCTGCCCCTCTTCTTCATTAGAAACATGTAATTACATTCTTTGACCTGACATAACTTCAAAACCTAGATGTAAAAAATACTTTATGGAAAGAACATTGCATCTTTTCCATAATGCCTGCAGTCAGATGCAATTCATTAAAGCTCGGTAAATATCAGAAGGCTGACACCTCTGTTTACAATACTCATGAGACTGTGGCAAAATCCAACAAATACAAAACAATTAATCCCCAGTATTTCCAAAAACTGCAGATCCACCGTATTCAGATTTCCCATACCATAAGCTCAGCCTTATACAAATAACAGCACATAATTTTAAAAATCCATTCATTACTAGTCTGTTGTAGCTGCAGGCAAAAAGGGTTTCTAGTTTGCTTTTCAAGTATTGTAATCCTCTGAAGGCATGTATTTAATTTGCTTTAGAAAAGAAAATGCAATTAAGAGCAAGCATTGCATCTTTGTGTGGCAACACAGTTCTGCAGGTTTTACAGGGTCATAGCAAGACACACAAAATGTCAGCAAGAATTCTAAAAAGGCATATTTGTTGTTTCACTTTTCTTCCCTCTCCTCATCTGTGCTGAACTCTAGAGCCCCTCTGTTCTAGTTTTAGTGCCACAACAAAAAATTCCAATGTCAAACCCTCACTGCCCCATTATTAAGGACATACACAATGTAATCTAGTGAACATGCAGGTGTGCAGAGGTCAATTCTGACTCGGGTGGGCAACACACATTTCAGCACACTGCAGCATCCCTTTCTCTGAGGACAGAAGTGCCCTTCAGTGTCATGACAGTCAGCATTCTCTGGTGGAACTCACGTGGGCTGGTGTCTGGTGCCACCACAATGAGGCCGTGCTCGGCTGCCGCCTGCTGGAACGCGGCTTTCGTTATGAAATTCTGTTCTGTGCAGGTCAGCCCTAGGGAAATAAAAACATCCTCGGTTACCCACTGCTCGTGGCATTCCGGTTTCAAAACTCTTTTTGACAGAAAAGGTTTTAGTGCTTTCCAGCACTGTGCATTTAAACCCACTGGCCACAGGCATTTGCTAAGGCTGACACTGTTAACTTCTGACCCCACATCCTCCAACTACGTTTTGCTTCGTACTGTCATCCCAGCTGTTGGCATTACAGAGCCACACATGTGGTCTGACAAAGTCTACATATTTTAGACAGGATAAAGGGCTCATAAGCACCCTGGCTCCAAAAGCCACAGCAATACATGCCTTTTCTACAGCAGCAGGTCCAAATAAAGTCCAGTTACAAATAAATTATATTTCACACCAATATTTCAATTTTGCTTCACTATGCAAATTGAGAGGAGTTAATGATTCCAGTTTTCTCTGGGGACAAGTTGCCAGTAACCTAGTTTGACTGATATAGTGCCCAAGACAATACAGTTTACATTCAATGAAATAAATGTGCTGCATGGCTTAGAGCTCTTCAGACAATTTTGATGTTCCTAACTTCAAATATAAACATTTTTACCCAGCCCACTGTGATGACACAGCTATTTTGTGACAAGGAACAGAAGTCTCCACACTAACAGTCCTGGTCTCCAACTTTCTAAACACAAGTCTCAATAAAACTAGTTTCTGCTTTTTATTTTGAATAAAAGAAATTAATTAATTAATTTTTGATGAGACAACTTCACGCCTGCTGCACAAGCCTCTTGCACAGCCCTTTCTGATCCCACAGGTTTGCTTCCCACCAGACATGCCTGTGCTAAGGCAGCTGACAGCACCTCTCTTTCCAAGTTCACCAGTTGCTTCCTGCAAAGTTGTACTGGGAACAAGGTAGAGTCCACAGGACAAATGTGCTGGCTTCCATGGGCTCTTTGCACACCCCTGCTCTGTCAGCTGAAGCAGTTTTTAGAAACAAACGAGAGCAGGAGGTGTCCCAACGGGAAGGCCTTACAGGAGAACCTTTATAGATACACTTTGGAACTAAAGGTAGGAACATTTTAGAATTAAAGGGTAGAACACTTTGAGCACAGAGCATTTTAGAACACAATCTGGTAGGCTACCCCCAAGCTGCATTCTGATTGATCACAGCACACTCAAACTAAGTGTGCCTTCCAGAAGATGAGCTTCTGTAGAATCCAGGAGCTGCCACTGCAGCACCTCTACATTAAGTTTTCAGCAACTGTAGCGCAGTAGTTTAGAAATGCTTAAGATTGTATTTTTTAAGTTGCTAAGACTCATGTTACTTACCTGAGAGCCAATACAGCACAGGACACTTCCCAGTTTCAGCTTTTGGAGGCAAGTAGATTCCAAATTTCATTTTGCATTTTAGCTCTGCACTGTATTAATAAAATAGTCCTTGTTATCACCACTACCTAATTAACAAGACCACTACCATTAAAAAAAGGAATCAGTGGACCAGTGCATTTCATTGAAAGGCAGATCTGGTCAGTGAATTGTAACAACTAGGTTAAAGGAAGGGAAAATCAATTTTTAAGCTCAGCCTCACATTCTAGATTTGGCAACAGCTAATTTTTCAACCTTGTTCTGAATATACTTAAAACAGAAACTTACAAAAGTCTCTGTTAAGCCACATTTTCACAGTGCTGCTAACTGAGAACAGGTTGAAAATCGAATTTTGAATCCCAGCAATACTTAGCTTGAGCTTTGGCAATCAAATTGCAAAGCAATTTTTACTGAAGAACATATCCACATGAGTTGCACAACATAAAAAGCACAGTATGTGCCAGCAAGGGAGGTTTTCAATCTACTAAGTCTAACAAGTCTAAGACCAATTAGTTGCTCAATTAATGCTAAAGCCTAAAACTATCGATAAACTCTTATCTAAGCACAGCTGATGGTTTTATTTTTATTTGGACCAAAATTTTTTAAAAGCTTGGTTTTATACACCTTCAATAAACAAGAATCTATTCACTGAGTCACTGCTCACAGCACTTTCCCAGAGGGCACAGAAGAGACCCAGTAGCAAGTGGAACTTTGCAAACACAACTCTGTGTTGCAAACAGGACAACCCAAAGTAACCAAGCTCCATTTCCAAAGGTAAAAGTACCAGCTTCCCACCTCAGTTCTGCAGCACTAAACATACTAGCTTATGTTAAACATTAACACAGAAATTCAAGAGCACAGCCAAAGCAGCAGTAGACATTATTCCTGACTGAAATATGGATATTAGCGAGAGCATGCTGTTTTCCTGCAGACTGAAAACACTGCCCCAAGCTAAACATCTTGGTTGCTTTAGTGGTGTTTACCTGTCGTGTTCAAACACCTTCTGGAAACCTTCAAAGCATTTGTTGCTGGAAACCTGTTTCAGTGCCATGATTTTAACTGAGAAAAAAAAAAAAAAAGGAGAAAGTTAAATTTGCAAATAAAACAATCCTGGTCTTAGACTTTTTGAGACAGAAGAGTTGAATACAACTTGTAGTATCTTTGCTTAATGTTACTGTTTCTCAGAAGAATTTCCTGCACATGCTTTCTGATCTTTCATTAACTTTCTATTTCCCCAAAAAAAAGGGAGAGGGGAGGCTGAACTCTTGTGAGCAGAGTGGGCAAAGCCTACCTGCTTTTCTACAGATTCACATCTCCAATGATCTTTTCCTCAACACTAACTGTGGGTTGCTCTTCAGCTACCAAAAAAGCCCCATTCCCATGCGCTGTGGTTAAGGCTGTAACTTCCACAATTAGCATGCAGGAAAAAAACCTGTCCCACCTTTCCTTCTCTTGCGTGTGAGAGTATCCAGCCACTAACTGCCACAATACTGAGCCTTATTCTCATCTTTGATGGAAGTTAATTACCACATTCTAACAGCCTGTGGGACAGCAGAAACAGCGGAGCAGAAGGCTTATTTCCACAGTGAACAGGATGAAAAATACAAGCAAAGGAGAGCCATGGGAGTTTTAGAACAGCTGGTAGTGCAAGTGTGCTACAGAAACAAGGGAAGGCTTGTTTCTGTAGCACAAAAGTGGTCAGTTTGCATGGGGCAGTAAGGCCAAGCAGGGAGCTGAAAAGTGAACAGACTGCAGGGTGACAGAATTGCAGAATATTCCGAGTCAGGAAGGGACGCCCGGGGATCATCCAGTCCAGCTCCTGGCCCTGCCCAGGACTATCCCCAAGAGTCACACCAGGTGCCTGAGAGCACTGTGGAAATGCCTCCTGAACTCTGTCAGGCTGCTGCTGTGACCACTTCCCTGGAGAGCTGCTCCAGTGCCCAGCCACCCTCTGGGAGAAGAACCTTTTCCTGTTATCCAACCTAAACCTGCTCTGACACAACTTCAGGCCATTCCCGCGGGTCCTGTCACAAGCACACAAGAAAATCCTGAGGGGAGCCCCGGTAATATCAGACCAGGTATCAATGTCAAAACAAGCGTCCCATCCCTCACACCTGCGCCCTCCAACGGGGCACCGGGCAAGGAGAATCACGCAGCACGGAGAGCCCTCGGAGGCCCAGCGTTGTCCCCACAGGGCTGAGGCTGAGGGCCGCCCGCTCGGCAGCGCCTCACCGCCATGGCACGGAGCGCCACCAGGGCCCGGGCCCGCCTCGGGACGCCCTTTTCCCCGCAGCCGGCCCTGCCCGCCGCGCCACAGCGCTCCCCTGCGCCTCCATTGCCGCCCTCCCGCCTCCGCCAGCCCGCACGGCCCAGGCGCTGCCGCCGTCGCCTCCCCGCCCTCCCGGCCCGTTCTCGCTGCCATTCCCGCTCCCAGTGCCATTCCCGCTGCCTTACCGCGGAAGAACGGCGGAAAGGGGCGGCCCTGTGTGGAGGCGGCTCCTTCTCCCGCCCCGGGGCCGGGCCGCACCGCCCCCGCCCGCCATGGCCGTGCCGGGCCCGGCCTCCCTCGGAGTCGCAACACGTCAGAACACGTGTAAACATTTTTTATTGAAAACAGTTGCTGTGACAAATGCGTATTTTGTGATTGGCTTTTCGTAAATATTAAAATGAATATTATATGTGTTATGTTAGAAAGTTATGCTGCATTAATTTTCTTAAGTAGTGTGTTAAATACAGTTTTAGGTTGTAACATAATGTTAAAATAGAAACTGTGTATGTGAGATGTTTTTTAAAGAAAGGAATGAGGTATTCGCACCAGATAGCAGCCACAGGACACCTAAATCTTTCAGAGAAAGAGAATTTATTGCCCCACTATCAGAAGACAATACTTACTGCCTCGATGAGCTGTGAAGACGACATTAGGATTAAGAGGAAGAAGCTGACACTGACAAGACAGAATCCTGTGTTTGAATGGAATTTATGCATCCTGTATGAGGTGTATGAATGTGCAACAGGCTATTGCTTTTAAGGGTTAATCCTCTGTTAACGTGTATCCTTTTTCAGACTTATTTTGCCCAGAAAAAGGTACCCGGACCGTCCATAACTCTTTGTTCTTATTGTCTCATATTGTCCAAATTTTTATTACTCTAATTATATTACTATTTTTACTACCATTTTATTACTATTAAACTTTTAAAATTCTGAAAACAAGTGATTGCTGTTTTTCACAGTTGCTGTGTGATGTTTGATCTTTATATACTTTGAAGTCTAATCAAGAAAGGAGATTTAATCTGTGAAACAGCAGCAAACAAGCTCTAATTGATGTCCAGGTGCTAGAAAGAAAATTGCTTGTTGGTAGAATTGCCTTGTTAAATTTTGGGGCTTGACATGTTTCAGTGGTCTGAGACCTTGGGAGAGGTTTGCAAAGCTTGGGGACAGTGATGTGCTGCTGATAGTGGGCACAAAGAACGCAGAATTCACAGGCCACAAGGACATTTGGCAGAACTCCTAGGACAGGGAAGAAAATAACAAAGAAAACTCATTAACTGTGCTGAAATCAGCTCTAATTGTGTAGAAGATAATTCTGATGGGGAGATTGTGACCATTGACTCGCAACCCACTGACTCAAGAAATGCACCAGAGAATCCATAATAGTGAACTATTCAAAGCAGCCTTTGTGTTCCTGTCATGGTCCCTTGACCATTTCAAGGGGGAAAAAAGTTCCTTAAGTGGCCTGAGTTGGGACCACTGCATTGTTCCATTTGCAAATGTTTTACTTCTCCTCAGGATTTCAGAGTTCTTCATAGCAGGTGCCACCAGACAAACTGCTGATTTTATAATAAATCCAAATTCTAGTGTAGGTATTTTACACTTCACCTGCAAGATCACAATGTAACAAAGACATTTGGCAGTGCTTCCATCTTATTCATAACCCAAATGATCCCACTTTGTGCTGGGCTTTTATTATTTATTTCTTTAATTTTAAATTTATTAATTTGCAGCTAAACATGCCTATCAGTTGTCAAAAAAATGTCCTCAGCAAAGCTCCCTCCTACTTTGTAGTCTTGTACCATGTACTGCTTTGGCAGTAACTATTTTTGCCTATAACATTTTCCAGCCTTGACTTTTCCAATTCGTTTTATATTATTGAATCCTAATTCTAGCAATGCACAAGTTCTGACAATTTTGTCCCTCCATTACTTTCCATTCTTCCCCAGCAGATCCATTTGGACCACAGCTGCTGGACCCCAAATCTGGGCCTTGCATCCCGTCTTCCAGAGCAACTTTCCTATCCTGCCTCTGTACTTGGATGTAGTTGGTACAAATAGTCTGTCTCTGAGCTATTTAAACCTCCTCATCTCAACTTTTCTTTTTCAAGCTGTGTTTAAATTGCAATCAATCAAATTAAATTATGTACTTAAGTACTCTTCAGGTTGTTCCTTCCATTTCTATGTGTGCATTTTGTAGCTGCCTTAATGTCTCTCTCTAGCAAGATAATGCCCAGTTAGTTATTTGAACTGAGCTGTAGCCAGCCTGTTTTCTATCTTATATATATTATGTTGTTATGTTAGATGTGTTATGTTGTTACACATATCTCATTTTCCCTGGTACCTGCAATTGTTTTTATGTATTTATCTACTGTCAGTATGAAATCTGCCTATCTCAGGCAGTGATACTGACCAGATTTTGATGTGTTTAAGCTCTTCCTATCCAAGTGCATTAAATAACCTCTGACCTATTTACTCCCATTTCAGAGTGACCGTTCAGAAGGGTTCACCTGAGAGCTTGCTGATGAGTTTCCCTGGCCTCCCCACATCTCTGTGTCAAGATGTATGCATTATTTTTATGTCTTTTCAGTTAAAAATGGCTGAACATAAATGCATAGGTAAATGATGTGAGGGCTGTGTCTGAGCCCTTCAGAGAGCTGCTTTCATGGCACAGAGCTGACAGACCAGGATAGTGTTAAGAACAGTGTAAGGCAGAGGGAGCCAAGCTGGTGCAGTCTCTTCTGTGCTGAGGTATAGATCTTTCTAGTATCTTTGGTTATGGACATTTGTTTGACCTCAATTCCATTTCTGGATCCTTTCAGACAGCACCTGCTGTTCTCACCTGTGAATTCATTTTGTTTGCATTCTGCCTATCATTTCAGATTCTCTAAAAAATATCAAATGTGGAACAAGCTTCCTTTTCTTCATCATTAAAAGGTTTCTCATATGCTACAGCAGGGCAACGAGAAGAAATTAGGAGATTAACTAAAAGAATGACAGATACTCACTTTGAAAAATATTTTGGCTTATGTACTCTTGCTTTATTATATTCCAATACAGCACATACTGTTCCAACACAGTTTCTGTGTGTTCTCTCTACACAGACAGTGCTTTCTACCATCTTACCACTGATCCCATCCAGTGGTGAGATATGATTTCATATCATCCACCTAGAATTTCTCTTGGCATCAGTAAGAAAGCCTTTGCATTCTGTCAGAAAGGTTTTTGCCTTTTCACCATCTTTTCTGTACTTGGGGAAACATTACATTGGCTTCAACACTCCCAAACACATTTTTTGTGAAGCTTCCAGCAAGAAAATTCCACATTGCAGCCAAGCAGCCTGTATGTCTTTAAGCTTATGGCACCAAATTTTTCTTTTCCCATTTTCTTTGCAGTAAGTGCAGTCTTTCCCTCAGCCATGCATCTGGCTACACACTTTTCTAATGTTCTAATGCTTTTTGTGGTAGTCTGAATTCAGATTGGTGGTTACTATCTTCCTCCTGCCTGCTTTTCAGTAATTTTTTCTCAACTTTTTGTAGGTGATCTCATCATCACTTTGGTTATTCAGAGCTCTGAATTCACACTTCACTGTTGACTTTGCCAAGAGATTATTTGTTTGCTGGTTTTTTCTGTAAAGAATTACTCTGGTGTTATTTATAGCAATTGTTTATAATTAAGTAATTTAGAATTCTACTATATTTATCTAAATTATCTTAAACTGTTTTATGCCATGCTATCAGTCCTTTTCAAGAAACATATATGCTGGCAGCAGTATCATCCCTCAGCATATTTCATGCTGGCTATATTGACACAACCTGTTTCAAGTCTTTAGCTTTTCAAGGGAGAAAGTTTATACAGGGAAAGAGAGAATTTTCTGCACAACTGTATTGTTATTGATTCTCTTTATTATTTCCCATTCCTTCTACCTCCATCTATCTTTTACCTTTTATTCCTAGATGGAAGTTAGATCTGAGCTTCTTTTTTTTCTTTCCTGTACATCCTCACTTTCTTTATCTGTGTACATTGAGGGCTTTTTTCTGCTTTGTTCTAATTCATGGTTTCATTATTTCCTTTCTGCTCATTAGTGTGTCGTTTGAGTCCCTAGGTATTTTGGGGACACAGCATTGTCCTTTGGTCTTGTTTGCACTGTAATCCCAGTTACATAGCTCCCCTGGCTCCTCTTTCACTTGGCTTTACCTTGGATTGGTGCTCCTGCAGCACTGCACTGGGGGTCAGGAATGGCCTCAATAGCTCTGAGCTGCCATGAGGCTGAGCATGTTCATAAATCCTCTTTGCAGAGAGGCTATGGAAAATATATACACAGAAGATTTGCAGTTCCAGAAACAAGTAATTTGTGATAAGAAAATAGAAGTAGTAATGTTTTTTGAAAAATTCTTTGTCTCTGGAGCAGTTAAAGCACTTACAACTTTTCCCAGGGGAAAAAACCACCCAATCATGCTTCTTTTATTACAGTAATGTAAGAAATATTAATAATGTTTTCTAATCACTTCCAAAAAATGGAAAATTAAACACATTGCAACTGGTATTAAATCAAGTGAGGAATATGCTCATGATAATTCTGACAGAAAGTATCTTCCTCTTAATGTGTTACAATTAAAAATGAAGAAGTCTTCTTTTTTCATAGTAAACTAATTGCACATTTTTGTATTATGTCTTTTGTTTTCTATTTCTTTCTAGTACAGATTAATTTTGAACCTATGAAGAGTCTACTTGTTTGAGAAATTTTTCCACATACAGTTTTAAATATCTCATGTATTTACTGAACCCTTGAGGCTGGTATTTTGAATTCAGATATTCAAGTACACTTTGATTATTGTTGCAGCTAAGGAAAGATATTGGCTGACAGGAATGTAATCGTGAAGATCTGATTTAGCAAATGCCAAAGGACAAGTTCAAATTCAATTTAAGCCAATAAATAATGTAGTGCAACATTAGGGCTTGTATTATTAATGGGAACTGCTAGGAGAGGTGGAGGCATAAATGCCATTTGTTTAGGCTTGTGGTTGTCATTCCAAGGGAGACAGGCTTTTCTTTAGGTCTTATGGAGTAAGTTAAGATCAGCAACACCAGCTGGCATGCCTTGATCCTTACATGAGCCTTGAAGTAATACATCTTTCTTGGTCTTGGTGGACAGTTCAGGCCACTGACTTGAAGTCATTTATCAAAATCAGGGTCAAAGTAGCAGAAGAAGCTTTCATGTATATCATAAATTCTTCCTGTGAGGATTATTTAA